TACCATTCAAGTATAATATAATTTTATTAGTTTGTATCGTTCAAGTATAATATAATTTATTCGTTTGTACCATTCAAGTATAATATAATTTATTCGTTTGTATCATTCAAGTATAATATAATTTATTCGTTTGTATCATTCAAGTATAATATAATTTATTCGTATGTACCATTCAAGTATAATATAATTTATTAGTTTGTACCATTCAAGTATAATATAATTTATTCGTTTGTACCATTCAAGTATAGTATAATTTATTAGTTTCTGCACACATTCTGCCTCTTGAGATGTGACTTTTATGTGGATCTGTGAAGCTTCATGTTTTGACATTTTATAAATCCACACATCTAAACAAGTTACAACAAAATCTAAAGTCATGAATTCCATGGCCATACAAAGTATCCCCCTACAAAACTACCAAGATCTCCTGACTGTAAAAAAGTATGTATATGTTCATAGACATAAAATGCACTAAGGTTACACAACAACAAAATTCATAAATTACATCAACAAATGTACATCATTATCCAAGTTATGTATTTTGTAATGAAACAGTTAATTATCTGTCTCCCAAGAACAGCCAAATTTCTGGAATGAGTAACGAAAATGTAAGTTGTTGAATGCTTGGAATCAGTGCTTAAAGATGTCTAGAAACTAGTAAAGAACAGGTTTCAATTCTAAAAAGCCAAGAGTTGCATGTCTGACTACCATGAAATTTGGTTAAATTTCTTTTAGTAATCTTCAAGAAACATTTACTGATCAAACGGAATCGAGATGAAAGTTGTATGCACTCTCTTTACTTGTTAGTTATATTTCTTTTAAAGCTTAATGATAAAAAAACTGAATCTGTTTATGTTTTTACATTTTTACAGTCATAAAAGCATATTTGCTCTTACAAAAATAATGTTCATTCTTTGTTTACATGGTTTGTAAAGAGTTGATAACATTTTTTTTTTAAACTTTTGAATAAAAATATATATTTTATATTTAAGTTTACTTCATAAGATGATAGCTGATTCTGAAAGAGTGGCAATGAGACTTTTTATTTTACTTTGATTTTGAGGTGAATAATTTATTGTTAGTGTGAAGCTGGTACTTATATAAACATTTAACTATTTGAGTCACGTTTATTCACTTGCTGCACAGAAGTGGCTAATGGCTGTATGTTCTATGTTATTACAGGAAATAGTGTTGTGGAGGAAAGGTGAGAAAACCAGAAAACCAATACAGCAGCCCCAGTCAGTACCTCCAGAAAATAAGTAGACTCACATGTAGGGCATCACTTTGAACACAGATTGTAATGGGACCTAGTGATTTTTCTAGACACAAGTGTGGATATGGGGATAAAAAGAATAAACCTCCAGTGGTTGGGAGGGATTTCTAAAAAATGTGGAAAATGTAACTCATGAGACATTTCAGGCCAAACTGTCAGTGGCTGGCAGGAACAGCTGGCTGGTAGGTTAAGACGTTCAGTCCAAAGTCCTTGCAATGTTTAGATTGCTTTCTGTAGAAAACTGAAGAATTTCCAAACAATATGCTGTTTCATTATTTTTATCTTGGTTCAGATAGTATCAGATGGAATGTGTGAATGTTATTGTAAAGAATACCTGTAATTTGAACTTTATAACTATTGTTTTGTATGATTTCCTTTATGTAATAAGGTAAAATTGAGTAATTACTTTAAAAAATTGCAATACATCTGTCAGCCATAGAATATAGTTTTTAAGGAATGGTGACTAAGTTATTTGGTCTTTTCTCACCTTATTCAGGTAATTATAACATTCTGTAATATGTTAGGTTTATAGTTAGTTACAAAACTGGTTGAATTTTGATGATCCATAATGTTTGCTTTTTCTATATAAAATATAAATTCTAAATGTTTCTTGAAACCATCTTGTGTGTTATTCAGAACTGTTTTTCAATGTTAACAGTTACAGCACAATCTGTTAATAATTCATAGTAAGTTATTTTCCATGCCTCCAAAACGTTTTGTATATAATAGTCTTGTAATTCTCTAATAGAAGTTTTAATTTTATTAACAGCTGCTAAGTGTTGTAAGTAGAGGCACTGATTGTTAATACTTTAAACCACTTAATCATGATGATACAAATACATGGAGATAAAATATTCTAATATCTAGCCCTGAGTTGTAAAATTCAAACTTGTTTGTTTATGTAGTCTACATGTTTGGAACAACTATAGCTGTTTTAAAAAAAAAACTTGAATTTTTGCCAGATGTTTCATGTGACAAGATTGCCTGAACATTTAAACAAGTAACAAATAAAACAAATGAATAAGTAAAAAATTTTGACATCCCAACATTGTGTTAACAAAATCTTTATAGACATCCATGTAGAAAAGGTTGCAAAATTAGGATGTATAGCCAATTTTGGTTTCAAAATAAACTAATATCATCAAAAGCACAGTATTTTCAGATATTAATGAAAATGGAGTTTGTATTTCTTTTTTTTTCTCCTAAATTATCATGACTTTCTTGCTGTTTTGTATTACATAGAATATTTGTAGCTTTTAATGATTTATTTGTGAATTTTCAATTTTTACTTTACTAATCTCAAAGGTAATAATAATGAAAATAACATTATTTTTCTACATAACATTTTGAACAATTTTCCTGTGGTATTTTTTTCATTCAGTATCCTTCATTTGTTTATTATAACCAGTTTTCTATACTTCACATCTTTTATAAAATCCTGGTTTTGTTCTTCAGAACAACTTATACTTATTATGATCAGAATGTCTGTGTTGAGCTAAACATGGTACATCTCTTTTTGTAGTCCATTTTCCGACAATCATTACTTGGAAGGGTGTACAATAAATTTCAGAGTATGCTTTTAAGCTAAAGTATTTTTTGGGCTGCTAAAGATATGTTTAAAGTTTTTGTAGCATACTAGTTGTCTTTTGATTACCTAGTGTTATATTAATCATAAATTTGACATAACCTTATTAATTCCTGTTTTTAGAATATTGTTCACTATAATGTTAAGTATTTATGTTATGTGACTTAAATTTGTACTGGCAAATAGCAAATTTCAGGTGAGAACTTATTATAAAAAGAAGCCTTTTGTTTTTAAATCTTTGCAACCCCTATATATATACAAGCACCCGTGTCTTCAGCTTGTAATCTTAAGAAGCAATTACATCGTTATCAGGAATGTACTGGTACCAAACCTTGTAAAGATATACTATATAATACAAACAGTTTTCTGTACACTGGAGTGCATCTAGAAAAGTATTGAAATTAAATACAAAATATGTTTAAAGAATGTATACATTATCAGGTAACTTCTGTAGCTCTAACAACTTATGTTTAAAGAATATATACATTATCTGGTAACTTCTGTAGCTCTAACAACTTATGTTTAAAGAATATATACATTATCAGGTAACTTCTGTAGCTCTAACAACTTATGTTTAAAGAATATATATACAATATCTGGTAACTTCTGTAGCTCTAACAACTATGTTAAAGAATGTATACATTATCTGGTAACTTCTGTAGCTCTAACAACTTATGTTTAAAGAATATATACATTATCAGGTAACTTCTGTAGCTCTAACAACTTATGTTTAAAGAATATATATATTATCTGGTAACTTCTGTAGCTCTAACAACTTATGTTAAAGAATGTATACATTATCTGGTAACTTCTGTAGCTCTAACAACTTATGTTTAAAGAATATATACATTATCAGGTAACTTCTGTAGCTCCAACAACTTATGTTTAAAGAATATATACAATATCTGGTAACTTCTGTAGCTCTAACAACTATGTTAAAGAATGTATACATTATCTGGTAACTTCTGTAGCTCTAACAACTTATGTTTAAAGAATATATACATTATCTGGTAACTTCTGTAGCTTTTTATTGTTAAAAAAAAGCATAGCTTGTTATGTTCAGTGACTTAGTAATAAAACTAGTATCTTCTGCCCCATGGTTATAAAAAATGTCACTAGGAAAGTGTTTGATCACAATGAAGTAGGATTTGAAAATCACTTTTACCATCCATATTTTGGGGCTGAATGTTTATTTATTGTGATTGACATTACATATCGGCTATGAAAGATGGCGGTTCAGTATAACTGTTTATGTAATCATAGCTTCATAATATTTTCAAGGAAAAATAATTTTTCATGAGATAAAAATTTTAGAAAAGTTGAAAAACCTGTACATTTGTAATATACAATCTTGAGAAAAACAAAAACTTTCACTTTGGAGAAGACACTGGAAAAAAATGTTATTTGATTCTAATTTTTTGTGTGCCTCATTTAAAATAGCTAGGTAAGCTACAGTTAAAAAACTTGTTCTTAGTCACATGGTGTTTAAAACTTTAATCCATTATTCAGTTGCTGAAATAATGTATTTACTAGAAAAATGAAAAAAAAAACATATACACTCATATGTTGTACATACCAGTAGCTAATGTGAACTGTTAATATGAAAATGACTACCACTACTCATAACTTTATCATCAGTGTTTTAATATTGTAGGATAAACAGAAGTATTGATGTTTCTTGGTGACGTGAGTAGGAAATGATATTATCATCAATAATTGGTTGCATGATTTCAACAAGAAATATTTTCTAAAGTCTTTTAACTCCTGTTCAGAGGTGTGCTAGTTTGTCTTCTTTCTTATGAAGTGAATAGACTGCATAAAATTGAAATCTTACTTTTACTTATTAGTGAACGTTAATAATACTTTGATCAGCTGTTTCTTATATGACAAAACTGTCATAGTGTGCTGGTGAAAAACCCAAGATGTTGCTAGTTGTATAATTGTAATTATAAACTCTGGAAAATGTAGTTCTGTTAAAACAAGGGGACTTGTGTTATTTCATTCTTTTTACACATCAAAATGCATTGTATTGGCAATGAAAAGTTTTTTAAGATCTATTATGAAATAACATAGCTTTTCTAAAAATGATAAAAAAAAACAAAACAATCTGTCGGAATTCAAATCTATAGCTTATAATAAAATTTTCATCTCTTTAATGATATTTGTTATGCTTAGTGTATTAACCTTGTTTGTTAGGCACTGATATCTCCAATTTCATACTTCTGTTAAAATATGGATTTCTAAACTGAAATGTGATATACTCTCTCTCTAAAGAAATATTACTGTGGAAATGTGTTGTTTGTACTGCTTTTGTCATCTGTTAAACCATTCAGGTATAGTTTCTTCAGTGTTTTAATATAGCTACTCCTGTGTGAAAGTGGTACATTTACTTGTGTGAAGTGAAAGTTTTTCATTTAGTAACAGTGCTTCACATATTCAACATTTCACTTAAGCTTTAGTCATTAGTTTTGAACTGCATGTATCGTAACCACATATAGTCATTTGTTTAGCATTGCATCGCAATTCTTTTTTAAAGTATTTTGTTAAATATTTTTCACACTTAAAAAGTGTAACTGCTACCCGCATTGATCAACTGTTAACTAGTTATAATGCACCACTCAGTTTCCAAATTTTGATGTGTCTTAGCCATTGATCAGTATGAAGATGATGCCTGTTTACTCTATGTATTCATAATGCCTCCCTAGTAATTAAACTAGCTGTTTTTGTTAGAATGTCATTCTGTTGATTTTGATTCATGGACTGACCTCTGTATCATACCTGGTTGATGATGTAAATATTGATTGCTGAATTTGTGTTAGGCTGAATCAGAAAGTATCATTTTGAGAAATGTAAATCAGAAAAATATTAATAAAGGTTATTAAAATTCTGTGCATGTGTTTTTTTATTTGAGAAGTAAATATCTTTTGAGTAATGTTGGTCTACCACTATGATTTAGTAAAAATTTTTAAGTTTCATGAGACACTTGTACGTCAGTAACACTATTCATCTCTTATAAAATACTGTATTGAGAATTTTTCATAGCAATACCCCCCACCCAATGGCACAGTGGTAAGTCTAATGGTTTATAATGCTAAAACCAGATTCTGATACCCATAAGTTGTTAGCACAGTAAAGATAGCCCATTGTGTAGCTTTAAGCTGAACAACAAACAGTCATAGCAATAACACTATGCAAGTTCTCTCTCACAACCTGCTGTACCGTGAAGAATGTCTCATAGCATTAACTCTCCAAGTAATCATTCTGATAACTTAGCCTCACATCTTTCCTATCCTGATGAAACCTGGTATTGGGCAAAAATCCATGGAGTCAAGTTCAAACCTCAGAAGAGCAGTGCTAAAAAAGCTTGACTGCTTATACAGACGATTTTTGCCATTTCTACAGTAAAGTATACCCTGCAATGGCTTCAGTGGAACATTAACAACCAGAAGGTAGTGGAGGGAATGGATGTGGGTTGAAGGTTAATCATGTTTGCCATTGGCATGAGAATGGTAACATGCTGATACGGTATTAGTTACATGTTCTCTGGGAGATTAGATCTATGGCACATAGGAACCCCATAGTTACATGTTCTCTGGGAGATTAAATCGATGACACACGTGAACCCCTTATAAATTTTGCTTGACCATAGTCATCCATCGATTACTCCCTCTAAAAGTAGTTTTTGTAACCAAGTGATTATATCTTCTTTTTTTTTCAGTCTACATACTTGGCTGACTTCGCCAATTGAAATTCATCTGACTTTACATTTCGAATCTGGCATTTTACTATTTCACATCAAATTCTTAACTGTTTTAGCAATCTTTTCTTCAATTAGCCAATGGTGATTTTCATTCTCATGTGTGCTGAAGCTTCTGTTAAATGTTAAGCTACAATGGAAGTAAACCACCATTATATATATAGGACTTCTTTGAGGAGGAGCTGACCACCACAGGCAAACCCCGTCTCTACGTGCTGGCTAGAAGATATGCAAGTTTAAAGTTTATTGGTTGGACATTTAACAGTTATTATCTGTTTGAAGTACAGTAGAGAGGAAAGTGTGGTAAATATACGATTTGTATCTGTGTTCTTGTATTATAGTACTGATTTTAAATTTCTCATTTATTCTGTATGTGTACAAGTTTCATATAATAAGTGATTGAGAAAGACAGTATGTTTATCTCATTCTAGTTACCATTGTTCTGTCCATGGGAAATATTGCTGTAAATTGTGTAGTGATGTCTAAATCAGTGTCCTTCAATTCAAGTGATAATCGAGGTTATGGCCTCATCTACGTTTAAATGAAAATGACCAGGCATGATTATTACTGAGTGTTCTGGGTAAATGCCATGTTTCTTGTGAAGTAAGGAACACTGGATTTAAAGAGACTGGTAGAAAGCTTCATAAAGTAAGCCATCTGAGATGTACAGAATCCATAAAAATGACAATCCTCACTTCATAAAATCAAGTACACTATACACACTGTGTTTTAATAAATATTGTTCATTTTGTATTTTAATCTTTGTCCAGTCTCAGTTATTTAGAGATTTGGTATTATTCCACGATAAGTATCTTGCCAAGCGACCTATCCCATTACTCTAAGGTTAATTCCATTCAACCTGAATATACCACAAGTGTTCAGAAGAATGTCACCCAGTAGTGATAGCATCAGAGTCATCTCGTGGACAAGATGCATTGAAAAGAATGTTTGAAACTGTATGGAAAAAAGGACTTCAGAGATAAATGTGTGTAATGATTTTTCTGACAGTGTCCGATATGCTATTTATATTCAGAAAAAGAAAATCAGTGTTGTGGTGTCAAAGTTAAAGATGCAAAGAAATTCAGATTAAATTGTGTTTGACTGTAGATGCTTTTTTTTAAAGTCTTCTTACTTTTAATATTGTTTACACTTTACAAAAGAACTTACACTAAAACCTTTTAATGCAATATAAATAATTTATGTCTGGGGTAAGGGTTCTCTTATATCTTGTATGCGTAGTTTTTGATGTACAAGGATTTTAAATCTATTCTCAATATAACTTATTACATGAATACTAGTTTTCTCTTCATACATTAGATATTTTGTTAGTGCTAGAGTATCGAACACCTGACAATTAGTTCATTAATTATTCACATGTATGCTTCTAGTGCATTATTTCAAATTATGAAGGAATTATATCTATCATAGTGGTAGTCAGGTTTAGTAAACTTACTTTTTCTGTGAAATTTATGGGACATAAAAATTCCTGTTCTCTCTACATTTGGTATTGAAGTTGATAATCTTACTTTGTACTGCAATTGTCAAGAGTAGAAGTATAACGCAAGTTTTAGTTGAATAACCATAACCGGAAGCAGACTATGATTTGCTGTAATGATTTAGCTACCCTAAAGAAGATTGAGTGACTTATTACATCAGTTTAGATAACCCATATCATAATGGATTAAGTACCTAATCAGCATATAACTTTGCAACATATCAAGATGAGACAATCTGAGTTGTTAAAAAAGTACCTTACTAACAAGAGCTAGGAGGTTAACCTGGAGAGATAACGGTATCGGGGTCACAACAAAATATTAGATAACCAAATTATATGTAATAATGTACTGAATACCCAATCAATGCATGGATTTTTAGTATGAAAAGGTAACATACATTGGATAACCAAACTGATTGAATACTCAGTCAACATACATATTGTAATATAAGCACATATGACTCATAACATGAAAAGGTACTTGCTTACACGAATGGATAACAATACCCACTATGTATCCACATCATTAGTGACTAATGTATAGGGACCAAAACAGATCATGGTAACAACTTGCTTCATACTGTGAGAAAATAAATCCATGTACAACCACCAATGTTTGTGTCAATAGTGTACCAACTAAAGTGGCAGATACATCTGTTATTCTGAGAAAACCCTTACCAAAGATGATAATCAGGTTGACAGATATAAGCGAGTTTTATTTCTGAATTCTGAACAATAGACAAAATGTTTGTTTGTTAAGCATAAAGTACAAAAAATGAGCTACTTGTCTTCTGCCCACCCTAGTTATATTAAAACCTCATTTTTAGTATTTTAAACCCTCAACTGTCTTGTTTTCAGGGTTGCAGGTGTTGTTTGAATGTGTAGAAAGTATAAAAATACCTCTACACTAAATAACACAACATATATAAAATCTTTATTTAATAACCCTCTTGATCTTTATCCACAAATACAAAAAGTTCTCCTTTTCTGTTTATATTTTATTTAATTCATCAACTATTTCATTATCAGCTTTAAATTTTCAGTTTTTTGATGTACATAGATTGATAAAAGTGTAAAGCATATCTAACAATAAGACCTCACATATGTATATAACTAAATACACAACTACATCCTTGTCCATAAGTACTTTGTAGGATTTAGACCTACCATAGCTATGCAATGGAGATTAATATTCCAAACCCTTTTTGAGAAACAAATTCTAATTTTTGTAAGGAAGGGGAAACAGCATCTCAAAAAAATTCAATCTTCATAGGATTACACACTATCCGTATCTGGTGCTACAACAGTGGTTAATTGTTTATCTAGAATTAAATAAAAAGGTTTATATTTATTGTCATATTTCAGATCATTAATGGTTAGTGCTTGCATATTTTAAAACATCCATTACACTTCTTGTAATTTACTAGCATACACACACACACACATTGGAAACTGCTTACTGCTCACAGATAACCACTGTTGTAAAAACATTATAAACACTGGTAGTGTGTGTAACTGAAGAGTAGAAAAGAGCAACCTTTGGAAACATTAATATACAAAACTCATCTTAATCTATTATAAAATGTTTCCCAAAGTTTTTATTTACTTTTATCTAAGTTTAAAATCTTTATTCTGAAGCTATCACTTCACATTGTGGAATTTCAACAAAATCTTTTCACCAGTGCAGACAACACTAATTATCACTACTCTTTAACACCAAAAATAACAACTGATTTCTAAACACAGGGATATGAAAGTAACATGTGAAATGATTGAATGACTGAACTGGTGCAGCTTACAGGGCAATCAGTTTGCAATACAACATGCAAAATACAATTTCACTAAAAGCAATTTTCATGCATAGATACATGTACGTCTGTTTATACAAGTAAATCTTCCCACCAGTGATATACTTTAACAATACTTGTAAGCTAAAGAAATGATACAGAATAGTAATTTATGTCAAAAAATTACGACAACTTCTCGAATATCTTTCTTGTTTAGTTTTGTTGTCACACACAAAAAAAGGAAATCAAAACCATTTCTCCAATTTTGATATTCAACTGTCATTCTCTCTGTCAAAATGACTAGGTATGGAGGTATAGGTAAGTGCCACAAGCTTTCATAAGTATGTAATTTACAATAATAATACTTTTAGATTTATGGTAAAACACGAGTTCAAAATTTTGACATAGTAATTTTTGGTAGTTTGATTCACAAAACCTCATTAAAAATAAAACATTAATTAACAGCCACAAGTAATGTTAATTAGGAACATCTGGTTGGAAACATTCATATTACAAAACCATATCTACAAGGTAATGAAAGTAACCAATAATACACATTCACACACCAAGAAGTTTAACGAATGAAAGTAACCAATAATACACACTAACACACCAAGAAGTCTAATGAGTGAAGGTAACCAATAATACACACTAACACACCAAGAAGTCTAATGAGTGAAAGTAACCAATAATACACACTCACACAACAAGAAGTCTAATGATTGAAAGTAACCAGTAATACACACACCAAGAAGTCTAACGAGTGAAAGTAACCAATAATACACACACACACCAAGAAGTCTAACGAGTGAAAGTAACCAATAATATACACACACACACACAACATCTAACAATTGAAAGCAACCAATAATACACACTCACACAACAAGAAGTCTAACGATTGAAAGTAACCAATAATACACACTCACACAACAAGAAGTCTAACGATTGAAAGTAACCAGTAATACACATAACAAGAAGTCTAACATTCAAAATAGGAAGAATAAGCTAAGTTTTTTATTTACTCAGGACAAGTATAAGCAAGCTAATTTTAGTTTCTAAGAGTATACTCTTAGAAACTAAAATAGTTTTATGTCCAACAAATATAAAAGGTGGATGCTATTTTCTGACATTCATACTTGAAACAGGATATTAAACTGTGTTCTTTTGGGAAACATTCAAATTTTAGGAAGACATTCTGAACTTACGAAGTTTAATCATGCGAACAAATTAATCAGTTCCTTCATACATATCACATCTTGATATGTGTAAACTCAAGCTCTTTTTAAAGCATATAATAATTTACCTTCCATCAGAACTAAGTTTCTATCATAAAAGGTCCTTTCCCACATTTCATCAATCAGTTTAGAGTTTACATATTTAGGGTTAGTGGCTGACATTACTTTTATGTGTGATTCATATGAAACTGTTTCTTGGACCAGTATTTTTTTATGGATGATTTAAAATGTGATAGAAATGTTCAACATCTCAGGAGAGAAACAGTAACTTGCTTGAATATCATACAATTTTAAGGTATCTATATATATATATTACAACATTATAATCCTGAACCAGAAGAGCAAGAATTATGGGTAAAAAAATCCAATAAAACAGTGAAGCATGAAATCATTAACTGTAGAAAAATATAAAACTTAAAATTCTCAAACATTTTCTTCTTACAACAAAATCTAAGAATGATTTTTTATTGCTACTATTTAAAATGTTTACTTCATGCTTCCACATTTTCAAACCTTGCCTTTGTGACCTAAGCACAACCCAAATAGAAACTATACAACTAAGTTTCTTTTATAGAGATATATGAAACCTTAATTCCATTTCATTATGTCTTAATTTTTAAGACTTAATCACAATTTAATAGAATTTTGTATCCATGCAAACATATTACATAACAAAACTACAAGTACTATTTCAAAAATATATCATATAACATTAATGAATTAAAAAAAAAAGACCCAAAGATCACATAAATTTCAAGTTCCTTCATAGCATTTAACTCAGAAATATTCAATACCATAATAATGTTTTCTTGCAAGGCTTCCTATGGATTTCTGTTGCCAAGTCATTTTTCCTGCCAAATCCTTTATCAGACTGAAAACTTGTGTACATTAGATCAAAGAAAGCCTTTCATGCATAATCCCTTCAATGTTCTTACTGACAATGGTAAAACTGTGACTAATTAAATATGCAAGCCAAAAACTGACAAAACTACAAACTAGGAGTAATCCAAAATAAGAATTCCATATATATATATATATATGTATATTTTTGTACACATTTTAAATTTGTTACTAATTTTTCTATTTATAGTGTCCAGTTTTTCTAAGTTTTGCTTTAACTTCCAAATTTATAAGGATATTAAGTACAAACAAAAAATATACACGAATCAAATCCTTATTTTTATTTTTCACTTGGATAGCTTGTTTAATAATTTCAAAACAAATATGTAATACACACAATTAAAATTAATACTTTGCCACAAAATATGCAAATATTTGTTTTTATAATGTGAAAAACATCACATTGAATAAAAATATTGTTCTGATACTTAGGTCTTGTTGTAATTTCTCTTAATAGTAACACACAGTTCATACCAACGCTATTACATTATAAACTGTTCTGTGATTGGCTGAAGGAAAATAACATCACTGCCTGGCCACTTTGCATGCATGAAGTGTGATGATGGACAGACACAGTGCTTGTGGTGGCTATTTTGAACAGTAAAACACTATATTATGATTAAATACATTTGTACTACCAAAAATCAGTATATAATATCTCAATTTCATTGATCATTATGATCTAAGTAAGTAGCACACATTAGGATGACTTCCTAAAGATGAAAGATCAGGTTGATGGTCATGACCAGATATAAATTTTAGAAAATGTAACGTGGTGTTAAAAGACATACAGTGACAGAGGTTGCTAAAGCACAAAAGAACCTTACATCCATTGATTTCATGTAGCTCATATCATGAAATGTATATATTTTATACATCATATCCAGCATATTGTTTCAATCTACATCACATCAAACTACTTAGTTTTTAAGTAAGTAAACAAACCTAAATATTAAACAACTGAAAGATGTATGCTGTTTTTTACTTTAATTCATTAGTTTAGCTGGATTCTTGATACTTTGGTATCTTGTCCACAACATTCAGATATGAATCCTTCTTCTTTCTTTCCATAAAAAAACGATATTCTTGCTATTAAAGCAGCTATTTTCTAGTCTTTTTCATTTATCACCTTTCTCTGCTTTTCTATACTTTCAAATTCCATGACTAAATTTTTCTGACATAGAACTTTGATCTCCTGTTTTAATGTTGACTCCATTTTCAGAGCCTCTAGTAAATGACGAATAGGTGAAATCATTTACGAGCATTTTCTTTTGTTGTTTTTGCACTCTAGCTGCACGTTCACTAAGCATCACTTCTCTATCACTTACATTTCTTGTATTCGATGACAGTAGTAATCGAAGAAAATGAATAGCATTTGGTTTCAATCTCAGTTTGCTTTTGCAAACAAGTAATTCAGCTTTCAAGTCTCTCTCAAAATTATCAGTATTAAAAATGTCCAAACACACAATTGTTCTTATTGAAAGGATCAAATCTGTCTACTCTTTTGCATTTTATCAGTCCAAGTTTTAAGCAACTGTTCATCTTTCATGGGAAATCTGTTTAAACTAATATTACTGTTTTTATCAGAATTAGAAAGAACACCTACAACTACCCATCATGATGATATCTTTTTCTTGACAAAGGCAAATGAAAGCTGATCCAGAAGCTATAACACATTTTGTGACTTAATCTCAAGTGTTTTAAACAGGGGTGCATGGAGAGACGGCAATATAACATGCTATGAGTCACAATACAGGTGCTAAAAGCAAGTCCCATAATGTGACTTGGATTCCTACAGAATTTAGAAAAGGACCTATACTCAAATTTCCAGGACTCTTGGATCTTGCTATGCATCATTAAACTTGCATCTTTCTGGTATTTTCATATATATTATGTCCACCAGCTAAAAGCTAACATTTTCTTAAATTGAAAATGTATTACCAATAATACTTACCTCCATTCACATTACAGCTATTACTCGACTGCTAGGGTTTCCTTTTGCCCATCTAATCATTGGTCTGATTTTTTCTCACTTGCTCCATTCTTTTATTCCCCACGTAATTGCCCTTGGCAATATCTGTCTCATTACACTCTCCACCTACATAAAATCCTGGTACTGTATGTGAGCACCTCATTCAGATAATATTATCACTTTTTCAAGATTGACCCAATTCACAGTCTCTTTTAGTGGGAAGGACAGGTGGGAGAGTGTGATAGAAGATAAGGATTATTGGAAATACATTTTCGATTTAAGAAAATGTTCACTTCCAGAACATACTTAACTCCACTCACACTACAGCTAGAGTCCCGCATTGATAAGGTGGAGGGGTCGGTGAGGGCATTAGCCATACAGAATGTACATGCATAGATTGTGGGTGTGCCAATAGAAGATTAACACCCTAGTGGGCGAACCACACCACATCTAGAACAGGTATGCTCTTCACCTGGAACATAATTCATGTACTGTGGGTGGGTTGGATATGATTCATCATCACTATTGGCCAGGCCCCAATCATGTAGCCAAGGTTCCACTGCTAGGGGTTGGAATTATAGGGCCAGCCATGGTCCCTAAATCCCAAGTTGGTGGCTGGGGGATTTGGACCACTATACATATATATATATATATACTTGCGAGTGGAACCGAACCCGTACCCACAGAGTAATGCATTCAAGCTACTGAAATCACAATGAGAAGGTAAACAACACCGACGTGGACAAACCCTTTCCTCAAGTAGAACTTCGAAAGGCATTACCCGAAACTCAGAATAATGGGATTCTGTATGCCATAAGCAACCTGCGGACACAGAACTCATCCGGTCTGGAATTATGAGCACTCATCCTCACTCCCCAACTATGTGGGCAAGGTAAATTCCACTTGTCCCTGGAATTATGTGGAGAACGTGGAACAAGCTGTGCTCAACCAAGGACCCAGGATGGAGACCCTCTGCATTCGGAATTATGAGGAGACAATAGACCCTCTTCCACGAACAATGTACTGAACCAATACTGATCAAAAAGAAGGGCCACGCTCAACCCAATCAGATATCAGAGTGTCAAGTCTGAACCAGTATTACAAGTATGCCCCCCATTTAGGCTGGTGCCTCTCCTACCAACATCCAGAATTCTGGGTAGTAGAGCCCCCAACTTCCCCTCTTCTCCAATAGTGGAGGAAATTCACTCGAACACTCTGGAAGAATAAATTCTGCCCTCCATCCCAGTGGCTGGAAACTGGGTGTGGTAAGGACTCCCTAGCTCCACTAGTAGAATATGGGGAGGGTAGAACTGGGTGTGGTAAGGACTCCCTAGCTCCCCTAGTAGAATATGGGGAGGGTAATACATGTTGGGGAGTCCTGTAAAACAATGCTCTGGAAACAGTAGGTGAACCAAGTTTGCTAAATTTTAAAAGCAAACCGACCATGATTTATTCAATCTAATAATTGGCAGAGATGGAAAGGAATCCTTTATGCTTTACTCATGATAGTCTATGAGTGGCTGTCCAAAATAGTATAGTAATACCACCCGGTCTGCCTCTAGGTGGTCTTATGGAAAATCTCATTTTTACAGAGCATATTGTTGCTAGATAAAGTATATTTTGTTACTGGTTTGCTAGTGCAGAAATGGTTTGATAAAAGCACACCTGTCTGGGCAACACTCGCCACAGAGTGGGATCTTGTGAAAAAAAGAGGTAAGAGACCTTGGAAAGTAAAGAAGAGACAATATTAGTAATGAAAATATTCACACCTCCTTACAATCCAGCAGATATAGTTAAGATAGCTAGAAGGGATAATCAAAAACCCTCAGATGAAGATACTGCCAGTTCATGCAAATAATGTGGGATAAAAGTATTGAGGGCGGTCCATATACCAGGCAGCACAATATCCTCCAGCAGACAATTTAACAGAGTCACTAAGGACATAGAAATGTGACAAATTTAATGAGACATTACTTGCAGAAGTCTCCTTACCTCCAAAGGGAGCCTAGAATAAGCAATATGGATTAATTTTTGTACTCACCTTGACAAAGTAACTTGGGATAAATCCCAGGAAACTGAAGGATCCCAATGAATAAAAAGTCATTTTCCAGTACTTTTAAAGGCATTAGTGCAGGCAACATAACACATCAAGGCCCTCACTAGACATAACAAATGATCAAGATCTGATCAGTCAGAGAGGTTAGAAATAGTTGTCAGATGAATCAATGAAAAGGATTTATCATCTTCCCTGGCTCTCAGTGTCTTAGGTAAGAAGGACCTGTCTGGGTACAGGAATATGTAGGTAGAATGATAAAGCATCCTGTGCACATGCAGTGCAAACAACTCCAACCAGTGACGTACAGCAGCAACAAAAAATTAAACCTTAAGGTTAGTTGGTACTTGGTACATGAGGGCTCTGATAAAGGCTCAAACTTATATTTAGAAATAGCATGTAATACCACCTTAATATCCCAGTTAGGTAACTGAAATGGTCTTTTGAACCCGAAATGACTTGAGGAGGCTGGAGAGCACTGGGTACTCAATTTTCGTCTCATCAAGTATCTAAAGGTAGTTTATAAAGCCACCTTATATAAGGGGACTGCGGAAGATGCAAAACCCTTGCCAAAGGGCCAGGTCAAAAAACAAGTTATGGTTGGTACTTCTGGATGAAGTGGGTTCAACCTCCTCACAACACACCATTGTCGATATGTGTGCCATTTCCACTGATAAACATCCATCATGGAACTATGCAAAGACTGAGACAGATACATGGCAACCTTAGAAGGACCACATAACCTCCATGCATGAAGCCTAAGCTTCAGGATAGCTGGTTGTATGATATCGGATCATGGCTGCACCAACAGACATGGCCAAATAGGAAGTGGAAGAAGCAGAAACCAGGGTTGATCTGACCAATCTGTTGCTACCAACAGAATCCAACAAGGGGTTGAATGAATCATAGCTAGTACTCTGGATAACATACAAATCAGTTAGAAGACATAGAGGTGCAATCTCATCCAGTCCTGACTGAAAGCATCTATTGCCACTGCCCGAGAGTGAGGTACCACGAACCAAAATGTGGAGACTGGGGAATCCATTGGATTGCTGTTCATAATCCTTTGGTCACATAGAGACTACTGAAGGGATCTCATGTGCAGTCATCCTATATGAATGAGGGAATTGAGTGATGCCCACATCCCCCAAAAAGAAAGAACCATCTGCACAGTAGGAGGAGATGTGAGTAAGAGTCAGACTGCCTGTTCCATAGCATGGAGTCAAATGGGAATCAGCCAAGCTTGACTGAGATACGTGTTAAAAAAAAGACACCCAGATGGACAACATATATTGTGTTGAAGTGAGGACAGATTTTTTGGCTCTGATAATAAAGCCTGCCTTGGTTGCTTCTTAAAGTTGAATCTGGATGTGACGTTCTGCCAACTGATGAGATGGTGTTAGCAATAACAAGTCATCCATGTAATGGTGTGTGCACAAGCCTAGGAAATGGAGGTGATGAGTAAAAGCTTGTATAATTTGGCAGAACACATATGGTGCCAATGCTACTCCAAAGAGAAAAGTCCTTAACTGGATAGTGGCAGGATGACTCTACTATGGAAATGTGCAGATAGGCATTGGTGACATCAAACTTGGTCATCTATAGTCCTGGCAAAAATTGCCAATGCCGAGTGAGGAATAACTCCATCGTGAACCTTGGAGGATCTAGGAATTGATTTAGATGAGGAAGATTGATGACTAGATGTCAAACTCCTGTCTTCTTGGGCACAAGAAACAGATGGGAATAAAACTCTGGAAGAACTTGGAAGTCTCTCTTCACTGCTTCCTTGACCAACAAATCTCTGATATCCCTGGAATTAAGTTCTGAAATCAAAAGATCTGCAGGAGGTGGAAACACTACAGATCGGGTGGATAATGCTGGTGAAGATGTGAATTGAACAACTAATCCTGAGGTAAGGACCTGTAGTACCTATGGATCCAAGAAAAGGGCTTTCCACATGTCCAGAAATTCTTGGAACTGAGCCCCCACAGACTCCAAAAGTATACTGTAGTCACTGCCACCCTGGCAGCGTTTCGAGCCAAGGATGGTTGAGAAGCCAATGATGGCAGGGATGAATGCAGACAAGCAACATCAACCCTTGATTCTAAAGACTCTGGAACGGCTGCAAAAATCAAGGGTCCAAGAATAGGGGCTTCACATAACTCACGGAGGGCAGCAGCTAGTAGATGAACACCCTTTAATGATGCATCTCTACCCAACAAATCCCAACAACATACCAGCTAAGAGACTAGGAAAAGTGCAGAAGCTGACAATCGTACAAGAGTAGATGCTAACAGCGGTGTGGCAATCCCTGAGAGGTTTACAACAAAAGTTAGAGGGATGATAAATATCTTAGCACTTAGGGTCAGATGAAAATTGTGATCTTTTCAGGTTGACCACAAACTCAGTTCTGGAACCCTACATTTACAGGAGTGGGACTATTCTTTGAGATTTGAAATATGCATCCATGGGGTGGTGGTAGGCTAAAGAACACTCCGAAAAACATAGTGAACGAGGGATAGCTGTCCCTTCATGTAACTAAGCACTAAACCTCCCTGCATGAACTGCAATATCAGGGGATGGAGGAAGAACTAAGTATTTGCTCTCGGAACTTTCTCCTATCAAGGAAGACACAGACTCAAAAGCCACCAGTGGAAAGACCCAAAATATCACTCACATGATTTACCAACCGAAGAAAAGGAGCCGGAGCGGTTGATCCAAATTGGCCTCATGAGAAGCTGACAGAATAAAGAAAGGAGCTGGAAAAAGCAAATCTAGATTCACTCCAGAATGTCCAGGATCACCCACAAGTGCAGCCTCAGAGCCCCCTGGAGAATGTATGTCTCCATCTCACTACAAATAAGGTCACGGACAGTCTCACCTGACAGTAACTCTCCCCACCCTTATCTCAACTGTTTAGCAACAGCAGATATCAGAGATGGGATAAGATTTGCATCCATATCAGAATCCCTAATCCGGGAATTCATGCCGTATATCGGCTTGCCAAATTAAGTTTCTTTTTTTACAAAAATCAATTAGGTAACACGAAGAATGCTCAAAGTATCTCCAATAGTCATAGTACAGAGAAACCTGTTAGTGAATGCTTTGTTGAGAAAGAGTGATAATATTATCTGAATGAGGCTTATATATAGAGTACCAGGATAGAGGGCACACTGACACAGATGGATGTTGTCACGAGACAGATATCACCGAGGGCAATTAAGTGGGGAATAACAGACTGGAGCAAGCAAGAAAAATCAGACCAATGCTTATATGGGCAAAGGAAGGAAACCATAGCAGTCGAGTAATAGCTGTAGCATGAGCAAGTTTCATGTTTCACGAGGTATGAGATTCACACTGGGGATTTGTTACTCAAACCAAGAACTTTTCAGGACCTTAAATTATAAAAGTTGTTTTACCAGAAATTACACTAATGAAATTTTTAGAACTCGTTATTTCTATGAAATGTATGAACCCTGAAGACAATTCCAAGTTACCTGTTAAGAGACTTATACTTTTTTCATTTTTCTGAAATGTGTTCATATAAGTTTCCTCTTCCTGAAACATTCTATGGTACCTAAAAAGCAACTAGAAGTTAAAGAAATAATCAGTGATAATACTGAATTTTGAGTCTGCTAGGCTTTTGTTTGATAACATTCAGTTTTTACAGAAATTCTCTTGATCTTCGAGCATAAAACAGAATTAACAGTCACCAACCAACAAAAGAGCAGAAAGAGTATTTCAATGTGGATAGATTCTGTAACAGTGAAACAAAAATCTTCACTAGATCATAACAAGTTGGCACCTGGTTCAATGACCAATTTCATCACATCTAGAATTCATACAAACACTGGATTCACACAAAAAATATAAAGGAACTGTCAGTGATTCATTAGAACCTACAAGACAAAATGTCTTAAAACAACAACATCAAGTACTAATATTTTGACTTCAATACTTAATAATTACAATATATATGAGAGTTTCTGGCATTAAAACAACAAATAATTACTACCACACAGGTTTACAAACACATGTAAAACACGATATAAAAACATGAAAATGTAGTCAAGAAACAAAATTATTGATACGATTAAAAACATTATTCCCAACAAGTTTGGTTGTTGTTTTTCGTTAGAAATATATGAATTAATTAAAAGGAGGAAACAAATTCCCTGTATGTCTGCTTCTCAAAAGAACAATAGGGTTTATGAGATATTATAATTCTTTTTAAGATTTTCTTATCCAAAGAAAAGCATAAATACACTTTTACACTAATTAACATCTGAAAACATTTTATTTTCTACTGTAATATAGAATATAAAGTCCTTATATAATATGAATTTACATGTTTAACATGACAAAATCAGCTGAATTTCATGTGCATAATTTAACAGAAAATTTTAACTAAAGCATGGTTTACAGAGAACAATAGCTAAACTACAAATGTACAAGATAGAAGGTAAAAAAGCTACCTAAACTGTATATATAGAACACAAATTTACATAGCTAAACTACACATGTACTTGGCATGACTGGCAAAAATTACTTAGCAACCATATACATGGTAGTAGAGATAAACATGTAAACAGTATTAGAGACAATTTTCATTACATTCAAAAATTCCATTAGGTCTTTCACATAACAGGGCTTGAAACAATGAGCTCCTTTAAAAACTATTAGGTGTCAGTAATAATTCTGATGTGTTATGGTAATTTTGTAATTAAAAAGAAAGAGATAATATGTTTAATAGTAAAGTATCAGTTTCTTTTAATCACAAGTTAGACACCACAAATATTATATTTACACCATTAACCATACTGAAAGCTGTCCTAGCAAAAATCTGTATTGACATGTTGAATTGTTCTCCAAAAGTGTTATGAATATCTAGAGTGGTTTATTAAATATCACAAAAAAGCAGCTTTAATACTACATTCGTATACTAAACTGGTATTAAATTTAAGTGAACTTTATATGGTAATCAAAGTACACTTACTCCCATGTTAACCATGCAATTTTGAGTAGAGTAACCATAAAGAGTAATTTAGTTTTATCAAACCTTAACTGATTTACATTAACTTTTTTTTTGGGGGGGGGGGGTCAAATGCAACTTGACTTTAAAGAATTTAAATGTTTATAATAAATAATGTTTTTGATTGAAATAATTAACACTTCAAAGATAAAACAATTAAAAGTTGTAACATGAAAATCATTGTTTTACATTGAAACCAAACTTTAAGGTCAAATGACCTTCATTAAAACCCAGTGACCATCATTCAGCAAAAACACTCACCAGTTATTTTTCTCCTACAGTAGCTTTTACCATGTTTTTTTTATATTTTCAAGACCTTATCACACTGGCTGCATGTGTTTATTACAGGTGTCTTTGGAAACCTGATAACACATACCACAATGAAGAGTTGTTTCAAGGCAAATTAATTATTTTTCAAGAGTTTTGAACAAGGTTTTCAACAATTTAATACCATCATTTGCTAATAAGTTACTTTCTCAGAGTAAGGTTTGACTTTTGGTCAAGTTTAAGAATGAGAGAGAATCGATAGAACTCATTCATTACGACAATTAGCTACCTAAATTGGTTGAATAATTGTTACGTTAATTATACCACAGTGTTGGAGCTCCTACTGATAGATGAAGTCTCAATAAAAATAATGTTAGTATAGTAAAAACCCAACCACATGTCAAACAAAGGTTAATGACTTTAATATGGAACTAATACCAGGTTGGAAGATAAAGTTTAAAAAGCATTATGAAATTAAATTACAGTTCACCTCTTAAATTTTAATTTTTCAAACTGGGCATCAACAGGAAAAGAAAAGTTTGTTTACATAAGAAAAAACACTTATATTATCATAATTATATTACATTATTTAACTGTCAGCAGACCTTCATCTGTTTTAAACCTATTCCATTACCAGATAATTTCTCCCTTTTATTACTCTATTTTGATTTTGTAGGTTTACATGCATCCATTTATCCAAACACATTAACAAAATCCAGCACTGATCTGTCTGGAAACTTTTCATACAGGCCAGATTACTTCTTTATCACTATCATGTATAACAAGCCTAGATAAAAACAATTCATCTGTATTCAACATAACAAGCTGAAATCCAATTTCTAGAAAACTTAAGATTTTCTTCTGATTAGCCTACTACCAACAATCTGATAAATGAGGTGGTGGAAACTGGGTTAGTCCTGTATGTAATTATCATTTTGAGAAGAAAATAATTATATATAGACATATAGAAACATATTATACATCATTTGATTTAATAATCTCAACAGATGCTAACAAAATCAGCAAATGATAAGTACAAACCATCTAAAGTTTCGTCACATTTCTTGGAATTTCATCAAGTTTAAATGCAAAGTGTGACCAGCCAAGTGCCGTGTTTCTGTAATTCATTTCTTTTTTCTAAGTTGAAGAGATACCTAACAATATAACACCAAAAACTTTAATTTAAAAATAACAACATCAATATATATGATAGTGTTGTTCAGAGACTGAATATCTTATATCAGTTCTTCAGAGACAAAACTGTAATTTGATGATAAGAATATTCTGTAGTATCCATTTTACAAATAAAATGTGTGGCCTTGATCAGAGTTTTCTGTTTGTTTATTATGTTATATTAATAGTTTTTAAAGTGGACTATACCAAGAATAGAAATAGATTATCTACTAAATAAACCAATAAACTGAGATAATCTTACAATTAAAAAAAAAGCTTTCTGAAACAAGATATTACAATGATTATTTTAAACTTCATTATGTTAGAACAATAACTGTTTTCTTGCCTAATTGAGAGAAATGAACATGTCTGAAAGATTTGATAATGAAACAATCTTTTTGATTATTGTATCCACAATTTTACATAAAAAAAAAGTTATTTTCTGTTTATATTACACAGCTTATTATAGCAATATCTTTATGTTTCTATCATGGCAATATCTTTATGTTTTATCATGGCAATATCGTTATGTTTTATCATGGCAATATCGTTATGTTTTTATCATGGCAATATCTTTATGTTTTTATCATGGCAATATCTTTATGTTTATATCATGGCAATATCTTTATGTTTTTATCATGGCAATATCTTTATGTTTTTATCATGGCAATATCTTTATGTTTTTATCATGGCAATATCTTTTGTTTTTGATTGACTTTCATTTAGTGGTATTTAATAGTTTTCTTAGTTTGTAACAAGTTCCCCATTACATCCCTAATGAACAAACATTAATTCAAGGTATTTAAAAGTTAAAATTAAATCAATTATAATTTGTCTTTTATTGGAATACCCCCAATCTATAAAGCATATTTAACTTATAAAGGAGCTCAGCAATAGTTTTACAAAGTTCTTTTTCTTTTCCTGTTAAAAGTACTTCAGATTAACTGAATAGGTTGTAGTAACTATTTTACAAATATGCTAATGTTTCAAGGATTTATAAGCCATAAAATCTGAAGAAATCTTACAGTAAATTGCTCTTCCTTTGTGAAGGAGAGAAAAGTAAAGTCAAACTATTTCAGACTACAGCCCTTAAAAACAAGCAATGGTTCTCAATCAATTAATATATCTGACTCAAAAAAATTTAATATGCATGTAATATACACAGATTTGAATCAATACAAATTAGTGATAGAAAAACAAAGCAAAATTTTTAAGAACTACCAAATACCTAAACTGTTGTTTTACCAAGTATGTACGAAGTATGATTTCATTAAGCAAATTATTTTATTCTTTTCATAAGATGAAAGAAAATTAAGCTACTAGATTTAGAAAGATTTTAAAAGAACAGCTTTAGGCACTGTACACTTTCATTCAGCTCTGCTTTTCTCATTTATATCCAGTTTATACATTTGTACAAAACCAAAATAATACACCACACAACTGTCTCCAATGCAAATGAGAGATTATAATAAATTCACACAATTAAATCTACCGATCTAGTATATAAGGTTCACAGACAACAAGAAATGACTGAAGAAAAATCATGACAGTTACACAAGAATCTTGAAATACATATTTTTCTTCATAAACTGTCTATACTAAACATCCATTCAAGTTAGCAACTCCAACCACACACCAGTTTCTAAAGTACACTTCTGTCACCCTGTAAGGGGATGGAGATCCACTTTCACCTTCTCTTCACTACTCAACATTCCTATAGTGGGGTAGAATCCTCCTTTAGGTATACACACTTCTTTCTTCCCTATTGTCTTTCCATTCCTGGTAAAGAACACCTGTTCAAAGGTCATCACCATTTTGTTAGTGAATGTTTTATCTTTACAGCATATCATTATATCTGTTGAAACTTGTACATTATTTTATTTATTCATTTTGAATGTCACCTCAAGATGCACATAAAACATACACAGCCACTAGCAAAACTGATATGTTTATACACACAAATATGGAACAATCAAGTGTTTTCTCTTGTGTTAATAGAGGGTAACATTTAATGTAACATGCTCAACCTGGATATTATCCCTAGGTGTGTGTGTAACAT